GCGTTGATCGTCAGATTCCTTCCTAACGCCAGATCCTTTGGCGTTAGTGCCATGTCGGTAGGTTACTGGATTTGCGTATGATGAGGAACTTAGTTCGGTTCTTGCACAAGCACTTCCAAATTTATGAAATAACAGTATATTCTTAAATAAGGTTTGAATTACATAGATGTTACAAACAGTAAATTTAAAATAAGACGCTAATGTAGCTGAGTTTGTAAATTTAAGTTAAGTGCGAATATTAAGTAATTAATAGATTACAGATAACAAAGTTAGACTAAGAACAATTTTATTTGCGAACTCTCAAAAAATATGTGGTAGACTGATTTTAATGCGAACTCTATTAATGTATGTGGTAGACTGCCGGCAAGGAAAAACGCAGTTTTTCCCGCCGGGCCCAATGCAGAAGGTTGTGAACACCTCCCACTTGCACATAATGCTTCCTCCACTACTCACTTTCATTCGGTAAACTGCTAACTTTGGAATATGACATGCTGCTGACTATGATTCTACGAACTGGATAAATATCAGTTACTATCAACCGTGGATCCTGCGAATTTAGAAAAATATCATTTTTCATTTAAACAAATATCAGTTACGGTTACCCGTGAATTCTACAAACGGCACGCGCGCTCTATCTTTGAATCGTGATTTCAACAATAGTCAGCAGGAAAATGAGTACTGTAGGATTGAAAAAATTTAGTATTACTTATTTACTCACGATCATGAACGACAATTGATCCTTGCTATTCTATTTACAATATACTAACGAATGTCAATATCAATGATCGTTCATGTGAGAGTGTTTATATAATAGAATTAAGAATACAAATATACTTATGTGTAAGGAAAACCACAATGTACAAAATATTACAAAATACGAATACAGCTAAGGTAATAATTAATAAATGACTTATAAAAGTAGGATATTTGTATAATTGGCATAGCAAAGTTCGAAGTTAGTCGTCACTGGGACGTGACAATAATAATGAATTTAATCATAGGAATCTTTCGATTTTGTTCGTTCAATTAAATATAATCGAGTAAAATCGTACGAAAATAATTAAATTAACAATTTAACTTGTGTATCTGATAATATACTACTATCGTATCCTCTCATTCCATTCTCGAGTTTGTCCTCATTATTTTACATTCTTATTCCGTGATAATATCAAGCAAAAAATTTCAACTTTTAACCATTCAATTTTCGAAAAAGTGCAAAGTAAGAAAAAGAAAGAGAGAAAGAGAAAGAATGAAAAGAGAGGAATCACGTTAAAAAATTTCAAAGCAGTTCACTGCCATAAAAGTTGGGTACTTGAGAAGTAGAAAAAGTAGAAGTAGAAGTAGAAGTAGAAGAAGAAGAAGAAAAAACGCATAGAAACGTACCGATCTGGAAAACCGCAACACAACTGTCAAAAAAAAGTCTTTGAAAATAAAAATAAGAATAGATTGTAAGGAAAAAAGGGAAAAGATAAAGTTTAATAAAATCGGAGATAGCATGTATTTTGATCTAAATTACCGAAAAATAATGTTATCTTATATTTCAAATGGTCCAAATTGAAAATCGTTAAAAATCGATAGGGAGAAACTACTACCGAACGGTTCAATTTATCGTTAAGATATATATCTATTTTTATTATATTTATTTTTGTATGAGAATCTCTTGGCAAAAAGTCAAGAACGTGGGAAGAAAAAAAAAGAGGATAAAAGGAATAGAAAAAATAAAAACAAAATAAAAGAGAGGAGAGAGAGAGAGAGAGAGATAGAAACAGGTAAGTGAAATAACGTCGTCCTTTTCTCTTCTCTTAGTTTCCCCGTATGAATAATGTAAAAATTGTGTTCTCTCAGAAGTAGGTACTCTTTCTTTCCTTTAAATCTTTCTCTCTTTCTTTCTCCCTCCCTCTCGTTCTCTCACTAGGAGAAGCCTGGGAACCTACTTTTGCTCTTTTTCGTGAGAATAATATGTTGAACTTTGAGAATTCGACGATACTAGTCAAAAGATAAAATATTAATTCCTATACATTTGTCTTCTCTTTCTTCCTCACTCTCTCTCTCTCTCTCTCTCTCTCTCTCTCTCTCTCTCTCTTTCTCCCTCACACAGTGTGACTTTTGCTTTTTTTTTCTCTTTCTATTCCCACCTCAAGCTCTCTTAGTTTCTTTTAGTAAAAGGAAAATAAAAAAAGGGACACGTGTACGCATGTATTATGTACTCGCCCTCCGGTAGATATACGAGGAGCTTATTAAGGGCTCTACTCCACAACGAGTGAGCGTGAGCCCAAAAGGTTCTTCTCTCTCCTATCGAGCGACCTTTCAACAGCTTGAAAAAATCATTCTCGAGTCTATTCCTAAGAAGAAAAAGAAGCGGAGGAAAACCGTCGTCCACCACTGGTTTTACACCTCTTTTACGTGTTTATTCAACGCAAAGGACAACCCAACCCTCCCTTGCCCTTCTTACACTTCCCACCTGCTAACACTGATCGTGTATTCTTCGAGCTTTTCCTTTCGTGATTTCCTTCCCTCATCTTTTTCTTTCCCTTTCACTTCCACTTACCCTTCTTTCTCGTTTTTCTATACAACTTTTTCTTCTTCCTTTTTCTTCCCCTTCTATCCTATTCGTGAATATCACAAATTCCGACTTACCTTTCTGAAATTTTGATATCTTCTGGACGAGAAAATTATATTGATTTATAATTATTTTGACTTATGTTATATAGGGTGATTCACCAGTTCTTGCCACCAAAATTTATCCGAATACTTATTTCGGATAACGGCTGACAAAACGAATCCAATGATGTGCAGTATTAAAAACAAAACCTGACAATAACCACGAAAAACTGTTCGGAAAATATCTGTTCCGTTCGTAGTCGGAACAACAAAAGACTGACGCAACTCTGACGCAACCCTGACACGACCACGACGCGACCATAATGCGAAAGAGCTGTATTGTGGCTGGCTTGTACGCCAGTTTTAATCTTCGTTGACCTTCGAAAATATTAATGTTGCACATCATTGAATTTGACAGCCGCTATCCGAAAATAAGTATTCAAATATAACATTGTATTTAAAACAACAAAGTTGACCAATAAATCTTAAAAAAACTTAATGTAACAAAAAAAATACTAGTGTCATATTATAGTCCTGAATTTTTCATGCAACTTTTACCTTATTCATTTTTCTGTTACTATCATACTTTCGAAGCTATTTAAGTGGCAAGAGCTGGTGAATCATTCTGTATATCTATTTTTACACAATTTCGTATAAACAATACAAATCTGATTTGTAAAATATACTGCCAGCAGGTTAAATTTTTAAGTAGTTTACATTTAACAATTTTTTATTAAAGTATTATGTCAGTCTAGAATTTTCAAAAAAAATCGATAAATTTTTTTTGGATTCAAACAGTTTTTTCCATTTAATTGAGAACTCCAAAATTAGGAAAAATATAATTACACTTCGAACCAATTATAGAGAAAAAAGAAAAAAGGAAAACATTTGTTGACTAGTGTTATTCGTGTTGTTTATTTTTTATTCTACTCTTTCGCGTTCCTTTTAAAGGTTCACAGGTTGATACGAGTACTCATTTTTTGTACTTTTATTAGTTTTTCTTTTCCTTTATTTAATCTAATTAACATTCAATAACCTATATGGATAATAAAAAAGAGGATATTTTACATGGTCAAAGGAGATACGCAACAAAAGCGTACGTATGTTTTAGTACTCGTCCACCCATGGAAAGAAACTCTTTGAACTTCAAAAGATTCAATTAACTTTTTTTCTATGACCTTATCCTTTATCTCTACGCAAGTGTCTATCTATTGGTATATATATATATCTATCTATATATATATAAAAATCTCGTGTCACAGTTTTCGTTCCCATACTCCTCCGAAACGGCTTGACCGATTTTGATGAAATTTTTTGTGCTTATCCGGTATCTATGAGAATCGGCCAACATCTATTTTTCATCCCCCTAAATGTTAGGGGTAGTCCACCCCTANTATATATATATATATATATATATATATATATATAAATGTGTGTGTGTGTGTGTGGGTTTGTTTTCAAAGATAACAAAAACGATTTTACAATCGTTTTGTCGACCTTATAAACCTACCTACGCGATTCTTTAGATTATAATTTTATCCAGGTAAGAATCTTTTTTATTTCTAATTTTGTTAGTTTACGTATTTTCTTGACAGTATTTTTCCTCTATTTTCTATAGAAATAATAAAATATCTTGATAAAGTGGTTTTTTTGTCCAACAACATGATAATATCAAATGAAAGGAACAACAGAGACTGTGCTTTATTTTATCGAAAAGAAGAAGAGAATTTGCTGATAAGTCTAACTCTTTCTCTCTTTTTCTTTCTCTTTCTCTCTCTGAAACGACATAACACACTTTGAATAATAAGAAACCCAAAGCTCGTTACATTATTTTTACGCAAAGAGATAAGATAAAAAGAAGAAAAAAAGAAACATTGGACAACACCGTTATTCTAACTCGGATAAAATAAACTGCTAACGACGGAAGAAAGTTCACCGAAAAGTTGGCAACGAAGAACCAACGATTCCTATTTTCTTTTCTTTTTTTTTTTTTTTCTTTATTATCTCATTAACACGAAACAAATTCTAGGATACCGAGACATACGGGGGTGAGCCAAAGTTTCTAAATCTTGTAGTTTTATAATTTACGAAAAAAGGAGAGATAAATTAAAGTGTCTTGAAAACAAATAAACAAACAAACAAAAAAGAAAAAAAAACCATTAACTGATTCGTAAAATCGTGCAAAAACTTTCGATCCATTAAATATTGTGTTGGGTGTATTAATGAAAATTGTTTCAATTTTTAATGAAACTAAAGTATAAATAATTCTAATGCTCGCTAAACGTATTTCTAGATAATAATAATAATAATGATAATAATAATAATAGTAGTAGTAAAAAGTAGATAGGAGAAAAAACGTAGGAGTAGCTTGTTCTTACAATGGAATGACTGTTTTTCAGCATGGGCAGGAGCTTTAAGTGCTGCGGTTTCACGTGGTTCTGCACCATTGGTTGTCGGCGCGTGTCGTCGTGGAAGTACACGGCTCACCGCTGTCACTGGTGGCCTTGTATTGGCATTAGCTTCGCTTTTTACTTCCTTTGCCCTACAAATGCATCAGGTTCTTTTGAGGTATGTATTTAAACTTCCGAAATATTATTTACACGAAAATGTCTAATACTTTGTTTCATTTATTTAACAAAAATGTGACCAATACGTTTTTCTTGCCTTATAATTCCTAAATATGGGTCGATAATAACGAAAGAATTTTAAAAATTCGTTGCAATTATATCATTGCAAAATTAACTCATTACGTATGAGTGACGAGATATTTCGTTTTTATGTTTTTGTTTTTCTGAAGCGCCCAAAAATATGCCGTACGCAATGTGTTAACGTCACCAAGAAATCATTGTCTAATAAAACCTATGAAAATTTAATTATTTTCTACTGTATTTTATATATATGTATATATACTAAGGTGCTTCAACTACGCGTTGCTGTGACTTTGTTATGAAACGATGATTTACTATGATTCAAAATTATTTAATGCAGTCAAATTACTGTTCACTAATCATTTCTGGGAATTCAAATTAGACATAAAACAACATACAATTTTTTATTTTTACTTTGATATATCTCAAATTAAACTAACATGGATTTTCTAAGTCTAACAATAAGCCGCAAATGGACATTGTTTGACCTTGAAACTTATTAAATGAGAAGAAAGAAAATATTACTTATATGTTTCTAATTTTATTTTAGAATAAAAATTAGACTTCATTGAATAGTTTAGTATTATATTAAATCAATGTATTAAAACAAAGCCACAGTAAAGATTAGCCGGAGTCACTTAATTTTATAGTAAATTATAAAAACATACAAAATAATATACCAAAATTACAATGAAATACATAAAATAATAATGCACGAAAAAAATATAAAAAGCAAGATTAGTTATCTAACCGAACTAATAAATCTGAAAAACGTATGACGTGAATACATCGAAATAATTGAAATATAATACGGCGCTATCTGTTGAATACTTACAGAACCTAGAGACTTAGATAACCTTTAAATAATAAATCCCTAAATTAGCAATAAAAAATAAAAAATAATCGCTATAAAAACTACTCCATATTCTATGTTTGAAAAAATCACACAGAATAAAAAAAATTTCATTAACACGTTAAGCGCCACGCCGAATTTCGATGCTTTTCCGTTCAAGCCACGGTCAGCCATCAGGCGGGCATTGTCGGGCCGCTTGCGTTAGGCGAGCCAGAGTATAGATAGATGTCGGGTAACTTAACTCAGGTGGTTGAGCACCTTGGTTTATCTTCGTATGTTTAAATTTCCACTTGCAAATAATTGCACTCGTGAGAATGACATTTTCCAATCGCAATAAATATTGTTTATACAGGGTGAATCTTGTAACGGGGACGGGTAATAACTTTTTTTTAAGTAACAATAGAAAAAAATCATAAAGGAAAAAGTTATATGGCACAATAAATGTCAACTTTCTATGACCTTACTTTTTTTTTAAATGCATCGATGCACCCGCTAGATGCAGTTGACTTTTTTTTTAAATGGAACTTTATATTTTTTTTTTTACACTATTCAATCCCTTCTTTTATTCTGTGTTAAAAAGGATTAAGTGAAGATCATCGAAATGTCAATAGTTTACGAGATATTTGATGTTTTATATCAGTAATATATTTTATTACATTGATTTGAATTGATATTGGAACAATACATTGTTATACGCTCCTTTAAATCATCGACTGATATAAAAAGACGTGAAAACACATTCATATCGTTATTCGATAGGACACACTTTACATGTGGGGGATGATATTAGAAGAATGCGTTTTTGTCAATTTTTTCTTAGACAAGTACAACGAAGGGAAAACTTTGCAGAAAGAATTTTATGGACAGATAAATGTACTTTTATGAATAATGGAATGTTCAATAGACGCAATGAACATACATGGTCTAAAGGAGCGTATAACAATGTATTGTTCCAATATCAATTAAAAAATGTAATGAAAAATGTAAAAAAGCGCATTAGAAAATGTTTAGAATGCAATGGAGGAATTTATATATATATATATTTAAGTATTTTTATATTCAAGATGAAAAGATAATAAAAATTAATGACCATTTTTATAATAGAATATAAGTGTCTTGTAGTATAAGTATCTCTCTCGAATCTTTTGTTACAATAATACTTCAGAAGATGTTCAACAATGTAAAGATATTACAAACAGTCTGTTTGAGACTTGTAAAGTAAAAAAAAAAAAAGTTTTCTAGGATCTTTCTGCCTTATACCAGTGAGGAATCATTATGACAAAGCACGGCGTTTCTTTTAACGATCTTTCTAAGGAGCTTTTATCAAAGATTATCGACGTTACAATAACGAAAAGTTTTTAATAAATTTCCTACTAAGACATTTTCTTAATTAGATTTTAACGCGTATTACACAATAAAAAGAAAAAAAAAAGAAGCAAAGAAACGTAAGTTGTAATAACACTTGGACAAAGGAAGAAAGAAAATAATTATGAACCTCTGATTATAACAGCATAACGATTGGTAGATGCATGAAAAAGCCTAAATTATAGAAAGTATATTTATAAGTATAGTTACGTAATATGTTTATGTGTTTTTTTTTTGCAACGCAACAGCTACGGGTTAGTCTTGGGAACAGGGGCCGGTTTGGTGAGAGAGACTGCTGGTTTGGTACTAGGCCATTACTTTAAAAGACGACGAGAGTTCGTTGAGATGGTGGTGCAAGCTGGCACGGGGGTGGGAATTGCCCTCTTCAGCGTATTTTACAAGGAAGCGGTTGGGTAAGTTATTACGTATATTATAACCCCTCTCTACACGTACTACTATGATAATATGTCCGATAAAAATATTCAATTAAGATGAGTTACGTTCACCATTACGCGTCATCTTAGAACCACCTTACCCATCTTACAAAATTAGATTCCTCTACCTTTACGTATAAGAACAAATTATTTTTTTTTCTAATTATTCATTCGAATTATCGAATCTAATTAGTACAAAATTTATTTTACCAAACGTGTTCTTTTTTTTTTGCAAACACATCAAACGCAATCTCACTAAATTAGATTTTCCATTATGTTTCCTCAGGCATGTGAAATTTTCATAATTTATTTTATTCTTCGTTCTATTTGTCCAATAAATTTTAATATAATTTTACAAAACTTTATGAAATTTCAATCTAAATTTGATCAAATTACGCAGACAACAATAATGTTTGAAACTTCCTTTTTTTTATTGAGTTATATTTTATTTCTTGTTGTTCTATGAGTTGATGAATTTTTTACAGAGTGATGGGTAAAAATAACGAGTTCCATTAACTAATTGTTTAGTAATTATGATTGTTGTCAAATTACTGTATAACTTTGTCCAATTATATATCATCGATTAATCTTCATTTAGAAGTAATTTTCATTGCTTATATTTTGCAATCGCTAAAAATTTTCCCGGTAATTATTAGAATCCTAACGATTGTATCAATTACTTAAGGAATAATACCTACACACATGTGCAAGTACACATGTATATGTACATATGTATATACTAAACAGATAGAAGAGAGGTCAGAGGATTTCGTAGTGTTTACCAGTACACCATTAGGCTAGTGTCGTCCGGAAATTGCCTATCAGACATGTTAAATAGTATCAAATAGGTAACGGTATTAAAATCGAATGAAATCACTCACATTATAAAAAAAGAACAATCAATATCGATTTAAAAGACTATATTGCTATCACGTATTCCTTCAATAATCCAACTTTCTTTCATTAATTACTTTTTCCCTTTTTTTCACGTGTATATGTATCGTAAAAAAAAACGAAAAGGGAGAATCTATGATCTATATTAAAAAAAAAAAAAACAGAGATTGGTATAAGGTATAAGAGTAATGAAGCTTTGTTTCCGATAGATGTTCATTTTTTTTTCCCCAATGGTTATTAAAATATTTCGATGGAAAAGTATGGTCGTTGTTATAATTAGTTTTTTAAAAATTAGGGAAAAATACAAATAAATACATACACACAATTCGTCGAATTGAAATTCGACGAATAGAATTGATCAAAGTTGTCATATATATGTGTATACGTAATAATTTCGTTCAAACACAGACAAAAGTAATTACTTGTTTGAAACAAAAATCATCAAAGCGCGCAACGAACTACTCGAAACAAATTGCAAACGTCGAAATGCATCTAAATCTGAACGTAGAGCATGGATATAACAGTCAGAGAGGGAGAGAAAGAGAAAACAATTCTTCTCTTTCTCTCTCTCTCTCTCTCTCTCTCTCTTTCTCTCTACGTGTCTCCGTTTTATTGTATATTCTCACACGACCGTGTCAGCGATATATGTACCGTAACCTTTTCAAGGTATATGAATATAAAAAACAAGAGATAAATTCGAGATCATATAATTCAACATTCCATGCTATGCTTTTGATCTTTTTATCGTAAGGTAATTTATTTTTTACTTATTTTCATTTATTTCAATAAAACCAACTTTTGGCTTATTTCAATCCCTTACAACAAGTAATCCTAAGAACAAAAAAAAACAATTGCTAGAAGCCCCTATCAAAACGAAAGAAGAGGGGGAACAAGGAAAGTAAATAAAGAGAAATGATTGTGAGTCAAAAACAAATTATTATTATTTAGCGTGGAATTTTTGCTCCCTAAAAATCAAACTCAACGCTTTACGTGGGACCCTTTAAATTAAAATTTTTTCGAGGAAATCCCATAAAGCCAACCGCACCCAGCTGGATTCTTTTTAAAATTATTTTACTTTGAGTTCTTGCATTAAGGTAAAGCAAACTCCTTTTATAATCCACGCGTCATTCATTCATTTACGTACGTATATCTCAAATCTACTCTTCTTTAATTTCAAGAGATAGGATGAAAGGTAAAAAAAGCAAAAGAAAGGTAGGGTAGGTAAAAAAAATAGAAAGGTTTTGTAGATAACACAAAACGAGAGAAAGAAAGAGAGCAAAAAAATAAAAAAAATAAAGAATGAGTGGGAATCAATTGAGAAAAGACCAGGGAGCAAAAATAACATCGTTTGTCGATGTCATACTAGGTCAATGATTCGTTTAGAAAAAGAAAATCGACCAATGTCCGTTTCATCCGTAGATTAGAACCGTGTAATTACTGGAATAACGTTCGTGGATCTTCACAATGGTTATCGCGATCGAATCCCCCTTTGAGAAAAGACAAAAGAAACACTAAAGAACATTTCAAGAATAGAAATAAAAAAAAAAGTTGTAACTTATGCTGTACGAGGGATGATAAGCGTCATCATTTATGTGAATTCGTTATCACTGTTTTAATTCATGAATGAATTTTCATTAAAAAAAAAACAGAATTAAAAATGATAGGGAAAGATAGAGAGAGAGAGAGAGAGAGAGAGAGAGAGAGAGAGAGAAAATAAGTGAATAAAAATAAAAAATGCAAAGAATTGCAAAAAGCGTGTCATAATCAGAGGATTTATATTGAATTTTTAATCGAGGAATCAACTAACATTATTTTTCATTCTCGAATAAAACTCTAAATTCCATTAGAGTTCCATTGTCTGTAGTATAAAAGCACGGTTAAGTTAAAACTTAAACCTTTGATTTTTATAAGCTTTTTCTTTCTTCCTCTCTCTCTCTCTCTCTCTCTCTCTCTCTCTCTCTCTCTCTTTCTATCTATCTATCTCCTATTCTCTCTTGATACTATATTCCTGTTAAATTCAGTGTCGTCTCGCGGTATTACTGCAATGCGGTTGTGTTACCTAGATTAAGCTCCTGAATTTCTTCCAAAAATCCGATGGACGTAATACGATCGTTGAAAAATACAACTAGTATTATTTTTTATATTTATATCTCGTCGATGGTACGAACAACAGAGAACAAGAAAGAAAAGAAAGAGATAAAAAGAGAGAAAGAAAGGGAGAGAGAAAGCGAGAGATAGATGGGTATCTTTCGGATCGATTCGCACGATTTACGATCAAATTGATTGTAAAGGGTGAAAAGGAAAGGGCTGCTAGTAGATAGGATTACTCACGGTCTCTTTCTCTTTTTTCGATACGTTTATGTTTCGTCGAAATTTCCCAACATTTAAAAGAGAATCCAAAATACGTACAATTGTATTTATGCATTTACATATATGTGTGTGTGGTTATATACAAAGAAGATAAATAGAAAGTTGAACAGATGCGGTAGATTAAGACGAGTCGAAGAGCAACTAACGGTTGATTAAATATAAGGGAATGAAATAGAGAGGGTAGTACGAGAGAAGGTTCGAGGGAGGATCGAGGGAGGATCAAGGGTTAGGGTGTAGAAAGGTTCTCACGTTAAGCTGATTTCTAGGAGGTGGTGCGTTAAAGGGTGGTAATTTTCCAACGATATCCTTGGCTAGAGATAAGCGATGTATATTATGGGAAGAAAATGAGAAGATGGCGAAGGAAAATGGGGATGTGATAGAGAAAGAAAGTGGCAACGAAGGGGGGAACCTAGAAGACTTACCCGGCAGAGATTAATGTGAAATTACGTGGGAGAAATTTAGGCCAGGGATTAGAAAGCTTCGATCGTTGTTTGTGCATATATACTACACTATCGTAGTATATCTATATACTATCCTCTGTGTGTATATTTGTATCCGTATGTGTGTGTGTGTGTGTGTGTGTATTGAATCGTTCGTTTCCAGGGGTGGCACACGTGTACCTGCTAGCTTTGAATGAAAATGCAGTTGCACGCCCACGCTTTGTCGTTACCGAGGAAACACCTACGCGTAATTTTTTTTTCTTCCTCTCTATCCCTTTTTCTTTCTATTTTTTATTCTTTCTTTTTTTTTTATTTTTTTTTTCGTGAAATATATCACTCGACCGTACGCTTCTTTACGCCCACTACTATTACTGGAATCACTAATACTACTACTGCTGCTACTATTACTACCACTGCTACTATTCTCCCAGCATCAGCTCAACACTCACTCGTTCACATAGTAAATTTAACTAGACGGGATACAGGAGATACGTTTACTCCCACGCACTTTTATATCTCTATTCGTGTTACCGTAGTTACGGTGAAAGAGTGAGTGAGCGAATAAGTTAAAAAAAGAGAAAGAGGGAAATTCAAGCTAAAAATCTCTGAAAAGGTCTCGTCCTTGACTATCGTAAAGTTCTTCGCCTTTCAATGTTTTTATCGGAAAGTAGTTGAAGAGCCATCGAGCAGATCTCATTCTACGTAAAACATGAAAATTCGTCCTTGTATTTGATTCAGTACATAAAAAGAAAAAAAAATACGTAGAAAAAAAAAAGAAATTACAAAATAAAATAAAAAAAGAAACAGAAATTCATATATAACGATCACTTGAAATTTAAAAAAAAAAAAAAAGAAACCCCTTCAACGCGTAGTTTCCTTCTTTTTTAATAATCCAAGCTTTCAAATCGACATAATTATTCTACCAATGTGGAACTTTATTATCAATAATTTTACGCTTCAACTATTAAACATGAATTATTCGCGTATTTTCTGTCCTCACACTTATCACCCTTCATGCGTAATCAGACAAAGAAAGACAATGGTTAAAAAAGATAAAATAAAAAGAAAAAGAAATAAGATTTTTTTTCTATTTCTCGTATAAACGCAAATGACCCCGTTCTATATCGTATATAAAGTTTTAAAGTTGCTTTCACTGTAAGACAAAAGAGTAAAGAATTCAAGGTCTTTCTTTGTCTAGGAAATTTTTGGAATGTTACGAAAGAGGTACTACGTACAACACAGTGCATTATAATCTACCAAATACATACACACACACATTTCCTTTCTTGCAATTTCATTTCCCTTCCTTTCTATTTTTTACGCTTATTTTTTTCCATTTTCTGCTTTGCTAAGTTACAAATAACCTTCTTTCTTATAAAACGATATCAATTTATAACAAAACGAGATTAAAGTTTAAAGACAAAAAAATGTCCGATCGATGTGTGTCCTTTGGGACACTGAAATATTCTCGAAAAAGAGAGAATAATATTTTTTAAAAATACTTAAATAAATAATAATTAGAAAAGTTGAGGAATTTATTGTAAGACAAGAACAAAGAAAAATGTGATCTTCATGTTAGAAAATAATTGCTTAGGTAGCATACTGTATAAAACATGGATTAATAACGTCTTTGTCTTTTCAGAAAGCTAGGCTGGAGATTAGGGTTGCAGGCGGTTACAGGAGCACTCTTCTTGGCCTTTTTCCTTGGTCTGATTTATAGGAGTGCTTCTCTTTACCATCCTCAACGTAGAGCAATATTACATCTCAAAAATCAACGTACCAAAGTGAAAGAAAAAAAATCAGCAACTAAGGTACCAACCCAACCGTTGGTTGATCTCAGTCCTTTGGGAAGTAGACCAGTCAGAATGTTGATGTTGGCAGCTGGTGCAGCTGGTTTCGGACTTTACACTCCAGCATTTTACATAGTAAGTCAATTTTAAACTTACAACAAAGAAAAAAAATATATAAATAATTTATCAGTATGTTCGTGCCGCGTTAAACAGTAAAATATTGAAACGAATGAAATTTCGAATTTGAAAGAACTCAATCCACGAAGTTGTGTTAAAAATAATAATCAATTAGAAGATCATAATTAAGAAATAATAAATAATCTTAGAACTAAATGAAATTCTCGTAGTTAACAATATCTCGTTAGGGTATCTAGCCGAGTGTTAAATCCGATTCCACGCAATTTCTTTTATCTGACAATGGATAACTAAAAAAGGAATAAGATCGGAAAAGGGGCTCGTTAGCTAACGAGAAGCTTAATTATAAGATTTGCATCGCTAGAACGAAACTTCTTTTCTCTTTATATTCATTTTTTTTTCTTTTTTTCCTGTATTTTTGTCGAAGAAAGAAAGAAAGAGAAAAACAAAGAAGAAGAAAAAATTGTCTCGACGCGATCGGTTCCAAGAAATTTAAAGGGGTGGAAGAAAGATGATGAAGAGAGACTGAAAGAGAGAAGTGGAATTGGTGAGGGAGTGAAGTAAGGGGTGGAGAGGGGGAAGAGATTTGTAAGATGCAGAAGGATGCTTAATGAGAAACTTCACTTTCAGGCATTGCAAGGATATCAAGACGGTCTGGAAGCAAGTTCGTTGGTATTACTACAGACCTGCTTGGGTTTGGCAGCAGCACTGGGTTGCGCGGCATGGGGGGTAGTTACAGCTAGACCATCTGCTCAGTGCTTGGTGTCCAGGCAATATCTCTGCCAAGCAGCACTTCTCGGAGTTGGTCAGTACACAGAGAACACACTGTTACACATCCAAGCCACTTTTCTATACTACTATGCATCCGTATGAATCAAACGTTGAAACCACCGAGCCTTTCGAGAACGCGCCAGAATATTTTCCTCGGATCTGTGGCGGTTATACCGATATGCTAACCCTCTGCTTTTTCTCTCTCTCTCTTCTTCATGAAAAAAAAAGAGAAAAAGAGATGTGAAACTCTCGAGTATCTCGAAAAATACGCTAGAAAACTCGTATCGCGATCATAGTAAATATACTCTGCACATATCGATCGTGGAATAATGTATATATCCCATTTTTAAAATGTGGATTATTACTTTGAACGTGACAATTTTCAATTTTATTAAAGTGTTTACAATTTTCGAACATATATATTGCACGATTATCGTTACTTCTTTGCTCTCTCTATATTGGTTTAAAAAAAAAAAAAACAAATATAAAATGAGAGTGGAACAAAAAATATAAGAACGTGTTCGATACTATCGCGATTACTCTACACAACCACAAATTTTATTACTTTTTGAAAAGAAAGAAAGAAGAAAAGAGAGAAAAATAGTTCTATTATTTAAGTTTTATTACCCGCAGAAAGAAAGTCGAAAGATTCATTATACCATCGATACATCTTCAAATGTGTTAAACTCCGTAAAAATCTCGATAGTTGAAATATCTTTTTTTCTTTCTTTATTTCTTTCCAAGATGAAAAGCATCAAAGTTCTCGATAAATGATTAGAAAGTAATTCATTAGAAGGATATCGTTTTAACCAAAGATGGAAAATGATATCGTTTGTATCAAAGATACAGAAGGATCTCGTGTGTCGAGACGGATACGCCTCTAGGTAGGAACCTGTTAAAAGAGAAAGAGAGAACGAATGTTTTAATTGACTTTTGAAGTCGAGAAAAAAGACCAATAGGTAAAGCACTTTTCTGTTATATAGAAAAGCGAGAGAGAGAGAGAGAGAGAGAAAGAGTTCAAACTCGATGTACACTTTTTGGTGTGTGGACACTTAAACAGACTGTTAAAAAAAAAAGGAAAAAGAGAAAGAAGTAAAGGAAAAAAAATCTGCTCCCGGCAACTGTCTAGTTTTCACGCGAGTTAACGTTTAAGTCAAAAAAAAAAAAAAAGGTAATCAAAGTTTAAACGTTTCGAGGTAATCACGATAATGAAATTCTTTTAACCGAAGCTATTCTTTTCTCTACTCTTTATCTAACATACATATCTCTTTTTGAATTTTAAAAATTAAAGAAAGGAAAAAGAAATATAAATAGAATTAAGTTAAAATGGAGAATAAAAATTTTGTCTATTAACATAATTATTCTTCTTTTGTGATTTTGATAAAATTTTAAACAATCCGTTCTCTGTTAAATCTCCGTAATTCAATTTACATTTATTTTCATCTTTAAACAAAATACGATCAAACATTAAAATTATAGTACATATAATGCCATATTTATTTTAATATTTATAAATGTATACAACGAAATCTGGATAATAATGTTAAATTAAATGCCACGAATTAAAAGTTACATACAATTATAAAATATTTAACAACGTGTTCTCGAAACACCGTGGTTATACCGACCACAAGATTTTAAATGTCCTCTCAGTACGAACCAACCACTTTTCAACGATTGTGTGTCGTCTCTCTCTCTCTCTCTCTCTCTCTCTCTCTCTCTCTCTCTCTCTCTCTCTCTTTCACTCTTATAATATTCACCTATATAGGTATCGTTCTACGGACACACGAATAAGAGAGAACGATGTGGACGAGAAAGGGGGAGGGAAGAAGGGAAGCAGGGATGGAAACCAGAATGGAAAATACTTTTATGTGGAGAGAAACTGTAACCGAGGGTGAACCTCGTCGGAGAATGGCGAAAGAGAGAAAAAGAGTATATGTGTGAGTAACACAACCGGGAAAAGAGCCCGGTCGACTTCAAAAGGATAAGAGGCTGAACCAAGTGAGAAAGAGAAAGGAGAGAGAGAGAGAGAGAGAGAGAGAAAGACATAGATAAAGGGATGGTCCTCGGTTCTACTCCAACTCTCTTCAATTGAGGGGACCGTAGTTAAAGACACGACATTGACGAACTTTTTAATGGTATGGGTTAGTTACATGATAACCATCGTCCGTCGTCTCGACGAATAGAAAATTATTTTTCACTAAGGAAATTTCTCGTTAGAAATGTTCAACTTTCCTTCTTCTTACTTTGTTTTTTGTTCTAACGTTTGTTCTGTCATTTTTATTATCACGTTTATACGTTGGGTTGTAATAATATAATTGCATGATAAAAAGTACATATTTAATCGTAATATCTTCGCATACTTAATTAGAAAACAAATTGCTATGAAAAAAAAAAGAAAAAATAATAAAAAAAATATATGAAGGAGAAACTCGAGATTAAAAGTAAGAAAAGATGATAGTATTTTTAAGCAACGCTAGAATATATAATACATTTATTTATCTAAGGTTTCGTGTGTGTAAGTAAAGAATTCCTCTTTTCACCAAGAAAAGAAACTTGACAAGTGAGAGCGCTAAATATACGGCCAGGGAGTTCCAAACCCAAAAAGCGGCTTATCCTCGCTCCGCAGGATCGAGTTTACTCCCGACACCAAGCAGTATTCACTTGTGGAAGATAAACTATCCCAGAAAAAGAATTTGCAATTTTCTTTCTACTATTAGTCCTTAATAGCGCGAAAGAACTGTGCGCGTAGGTGTCCGTATTTACGTTTAATAAGAAACTAACAAATGATTTTGACTATGATCGAACAGTAAAGTACCTCTCTCTCGCATTTAAAATGAAAACGATCTATCTTGCAAATTTTATCTATTATCTAAAAAAGAAAAAAGGAGAAAAAGATGGAAAGATTATTCTACAGAATGATTCAAAAGTTTATTATTAAAATCTATTTCTCTGTGTTGAAACTGTTTAGATTAATTTTATTGTAAAATTGTACAAAACTATAAGTCAAATGAAAGTATTGAAAAAATGTTAATTGATTTTGAAAATTATGTAAAAACTTTTTGATTCACCTTGGAACTTGTGGACCATTCTGTATTAAATCAACTAGGACGATAATATCAGAGTTCTTTTAAAATATTCAACAGGCAAGTGTCAGAGAAAGTACAAGTTAACGAATGTTGATGTTGCGAATAAGAAAGAATGTAAGAACCGACGTCGACAAGAAAAATGTAAGAACTTGTAATATATTGCACCCGTAAAGATGGTAAAAAGAAGAAAAAAACAACAGAAAAGAAAAAGAAAAAGAAAGATAAAGAGATAAGATGCGGAAGAGAATACATTTCGAAAAGAAGAGAAAAAATAAGATATACGAGACCCGATTAATTAACATGATTAAAGAGCATAATATTATGGAAACAATAACGAAAATATTTTGTTAAAATAACTCATGCATCGTTGACACACATTCGTATACGCATTACGAATAAAATTAAATATTGAATGAGATAATTAATAATCTATCGTTGTGTTCTTCAATACAACACAATTACTAATATTTTTTAAAGCAGAATTTCAAACAAATAATGCAGCAATGTTTGTTTGTTTTTTTTTTTTTCAAAAAATAAAATAAATACGAAGAAAACATTGACTCGTATTGTTGTTCGAATATTTATGATTTTATCGATTGAAATTTAAAAAAACATTGAAATAAAGTTAATGCATACGAGAAAACGTGTCAACAATGTTAAATTTTTATACAATTTAGGAATTTAAAAAAAATATAAATAAATGATTTTTTTTAATAAATTCTGCAACAGATAAAATGATCGATGAACGATCTCGATTTAGGTTGTATATTTGTTTGAAGCCGTAGCTCAGGTGGCGCTTGGTAGTGTGCAAGGTTATCACGGATTGGTGTTGGCATCAGGCCTTTATGGAGCTTCTCTTGGTGGTGCCCTTTACTCCCTCAAGATGTTGGCTCTCGAAAGAGTAAGGGCAAGACATTTCGCGAGATCTTGGGCTCTCGTTCAAGCAGCAGAAGCTTTACCCATCCTACTCGGAGTTCCTCTTACTGGTAAGTAAATGTTAACACGACTCGAGAGATAATAATAATTTGAGAAGGACCTTGTCAGATAATGAAGAAAATCAAAATTGTGATCTAGTAATGAACAGAGTTACATTATTTAATTGAAATAATAAAGATGTTAAATTTGCTAAATGAAAGACGTAAATAGAAGAAATGTTCAGCACCGGTGACAAAGTGGTTGGTTGTTAATATTAGCGAAAAGAAATAAAAAAGGAAAAAAAAGAGAGAGAAAGAGAGAGAGAGAGAGAGAGAGAAGGTCTTAACGAGTAAAACTTGAGATGTAAGAAGTATCGCAGGAGGTTAAGTACCGTCTCGGTGGGTCTACTAAATTTGCGTTATCACGTAGGTTACATGAATGCTAGCAGCCCAAGGGTAGGCTACTATGCGTGCACGTTGAGTTCCTTGTGCGGCGCCGCGTTGCTCTTCTTGGTTGGTTGGGGTCGACAACCGACATCACCAGTTTTACCCGGGCCACGTTTATCCAGTCTTGGTGCCGTACCACCGCCTTGTGCCTGTCCACCACCACCAAGACCAAGGTTACCCAAATCTCAATCCCTACATGTACCACTCGACGTCGAGGAGAACATGCACGAGAGGGAAAGCGAGAGTATACACACTGCCGAACATTATTACCAACCACAATTTCATACTCCGCTTAGACCAAGCAAGAGTGTACCAGAAGGTTTGAGTCATCCTCATCAACCGGATCCTTATAGGACGAGACCTAGGCGTTATCGTGACGTTACTGTTATCGAACAAATTACTACCAGTGTTTAAAGAAACATTCCTTGTTAGTATAATATGCGTAATTTAAGCTTTTAAACAAAATATCATAAGTAACACACACTATGTTTTATGCCTTAATAATTTTGGAAACACGATTATACATATTGGTGGAAAGTTGGGTGAAATTCGAAGAATTCATAGAAATTTAGGCAGTTTTATGTCAGGATTGAATCTATAGATTGAAACCATTTCATTGTTTATGGAGAAAACGTTCAGTTACACGAAAAGGAATGCTCGGTCAAAAAATAAATCTATAAATAATACCCAGAACTGTCTGGCTTTTCAATCATTAAAAAGGAGCTTAAAATCGATTCTCTATTAAGGCATGTTGATGTCGACTATTTCGTATGCGTGAGTGTTACGTTAACGAAAGACCAAATGTGTTTACATAATCGTTGGGCTCGTGTGTGTATGTGTGTGCATGCGTGTGCGTATGCGTGTATGTATATGTATGTATCGTTTAAACGAAATATGTATGTGTATATGTAGAGAAAACGGATCGATCGACGTTTTCCATGGAATAACTCAAAATAAGGATAATCAAAAATATTCCTAAATAAAAAAAGACATTAATCAAATATTCTATAAAAATAAAACATAAGTTAGATAATTGTAAGACTTAAACGGCAAAAGAAAAAAACGGAAACTATGGTAGTAAAAAAAATAAAAAACAAAAATAAAAGGAAACGTGCTATTCGATCTTTCCGTGGACTTTGTCTTTGTCGTCGTGATAAAAAATAAGGAAGATAATTAAAGAAAAATTAAAAAAAAATTAAATAATCGAAAAATATATTCTCTCTTGTCTTATTAAGAACTCAACACGTGCGCGCAAGTGTATCTCTGATTAATTAAACATTGGATGTAAACGAACTTATCTTATTATTTGTATTTACTTATATCTCGAACGAGCGAACTGAATCGAGTTCGTAATGAGTCGATTTACATACACGTATATAATCGAATACCCTAGTTATGTAATAACACCATGTACAGAGTGGGCCAAAAGTTCTCTAACGATTTTGAAGATTGACTTTATAGACTCACATTTAAATTTGTAGTTTTACTTGAAAATTAGCTAATGGAGTATTGAAAAAAAAAGAAAAAAAAATTATTAATATTTAAAATGATCTACGAACTTTTGTTCCCATCCTGTATAAATTAGACTAAAATATTTATTCCCGTTAACGAGACGTTAGTTATACTATTACAGACACACATATACAACTGCGAGAAGGTGAAGAACGATTCCATTGACAGTAATAAAATGATCGAATAATTAGATTTGTTTCTTTTTATTTTCGTGCATGAAACACGCTGACATCGTTTCGACCGAAAAAGAATCTCCGATACCCCTGTATGTCATGTACAAAACACATATCGTGTTTAACGCTAAATCTATCGACATTTCATGTATACTACCTATTTCTACCGTGAGCGATCAAATGATCGCTATAGAATGAGATTTTAGCCAATTGAATAGTAGACAATATATATATTCCTTTATTTAGAAATAAATGATGTACATTATATGTGTTTTTACCGCATTTTTACAAATTACAATAGTACTCGGTCATTTGACCTCACATGGTAGGTTTGGTGTTAATATCCCGGCAAAGTTCGATGGATCGATTTCTTCCTAATCCGTGCGTAAATACAATACATTTCCCAAATGTTTTGCTATTAGATATCCAACGCACGGAGAAAATCAGTGCAGTGCAACAAAGTGTATTACATTACGTTATATTGTTACGTATAAAATAATAGAAAATATACAATGATCTATATTCGGAGCTGGTCTCTAAGAAAAAAAGAAAGAAAAAATTGGACACACACCACACACACACACACATACACAATAAAATATAAACATTCTACAAAATTGTTAAATATTCTCATTCGCGTTTAAAAAGAACCTTGCGTACACGCACTTAGATTACGTGTTTGTGTACGTTTACAGTATTATAATAAATATATTAAATATACACAATACGAAAACAAATTGATGATAGTGAATGATTTATGGAAAAGAAAATAAAGAAAATATTTATAGTTAAGACTGAACGTCGATGAGAAATTTTTTTCTCTCTGCGACAATGATCAAGATTGAAAAGAAAAAAGAAAAAAAATTAAAAAAAGCAAGGAAAAGATTTGAAAAAATGAAAAAAAAAGGAAAACTTTTAAACGCACTTTGTAGCATGTACGTGCATTTCTTAAAAGGACATTGATAATAACGATAATGAAAAAAAAAAAATCCTCAAAAATTAATATTGAAGATCAATTTGATTCGTCTGATCGATCGTTTATAAAATTTACTACGTTTTTTGCTGATATAGAATAAAATAATTAGTACCTGAATATTATATATGTATATGTATGTATATTAGAAAGTAGGGCCCAAAAGTTTCTAGATAGACTCAAAAGTTCTTAAATAAATTTACAAAACCATGTAAAAATTTTTGATTCGCGTCGAAACTTTTGGAACACCCTGCATTTGATGCTGTTGCTGTTTATGATACTTTTTTTCGTTGATAAAATTATACAAAAGATTGTGTTGTGTGTATAATAAATTATCATCTAGATAACAAATAATACGAGAAATATATGGTATATCAACATGAATCGAAATAGGCAGCTGCTTTGGATAAATATAAACGTAAAGCTCTTTGTTATTTTTTTGTTTATTTAATATATTCTTTTTCTAATTAATATTGAATTAATATTGTACGATAGCGCGCAGCAGAGCTTTCCTCGATTTACGCAGGATATGTCAAAAATATGATTTAGTAGGGTGAATCGTTGGAATACTGCCAGTTTCTAATGGATACCAGATGTGTTACGGGTTTTTCGATATTCAGTCATATTTATACGGTTGGAAGTCAATAATTGCAATATATACATATATATACACAAACACTTCTATATATATATGTATAGACATATATGCTATTTTCTAATTAAATTTTGAATGCATTATTTTACGTATAATTACTAAGAGAAATTCGTTGTGCTACGAATTCTCGATAACAATCATTTTGCTAAAAACAATAATCTTACGCTGTAAATATGAATTGCAAAATCATGCTAAACTGTATTCCCTTCTTTTTTCTTCTTCTTCTTCTTCTTTTTATATTAACCCTTCCGTATTGCGTATATGAATCGCTAATAACGAAAGCATTAAAAATTACATTGCACTTGACAATTTATAAACATTACTGGGGGAATATGTAAACACATATCTGCTATTATAATACTTTCTCTCGTATCGTGTGTATGTCATTATCGAATGAAAATGAATATTGTACGTAAGCTAAACACATACACATACACATACACACAGAACACACGTATATTCTAATATACGTTAGTTTTCCAACAAAATAAAAGGGAAATAAAAGGATGAGAGGTGAACGTTTTTCTATGTGTAATATGAAAATCTAATTGTATAAGTGAACATACACGAGGAGATATATGTTGAATGTTCAATTTGTCTAATTCGTTATCATTGGCATACTAAATAATTCTATAATGTTTATGAAAGAAATATGTTGAAAATTGTTTCATTAATATTAAAAAAATAAAAAATAAATATAACAGATATTTATATAATACGAATAAGAAATAAAGAAAACAAAAAATATATGGATGATCAATTTAGCAAATTAATTCTTAGAACGATGAGAGTTCTATGCGTTAGGCGATGAGACATTAAATATACTAAGTGAGATAAAAGTCACTTTACCCAGAAATTCGATTATGCAAGTAATTTGTTTATGCAATGAAGTGCGGTTACAGCTATACAAATAACTAGTATTTTGGTTTAGCATTTTATGCTGTTACTATACAACAATATTGTTCTTATGTTTTTGTGCATCTTGAATGAAATTTGAGAAATGAGTTGCATGTTAACCGAGGAAGAACGAGTTTCTGCATTGCAATGTTAGTTGAAAACATAACAGAAGTACAGAATTTATAACAACTTATTTTACAAACGAGAAAAGCGACTTTTATCTTACCCTGTATAAAAAAAAACCACAAATAACAAAATGTAAAAAAAAAAACAATTTCATAACTTCTGTAATTAGTGTACTATGATACAAATAGTGTAAATCAGCTTGTTCTGTTATAATTTCGACTCGCTTAATTAAAAGAGAAAAGGAAATAAGACAAAAATTTATCCTAATAAACTCGAAACACATTAATCAATATTACAAAAACATTTATAATCTAAATATAATTACAGTATGATCTCAAAAAGTCGTCTCTATCGAATCGTATGAATAAATAAATAAAAAAAAATAAATAAAATAACAAAAAAAAACTTCTCTAACTTGTACAATCACGATTATAGATTTAGAAAGAAATCAATTTTCATCTTTAAACATCCATAATTACGAAGCGATTATTGATATTGATATAAAATACGATAGACGAGTATGTATGTATTATGTATCGCAATTTCACGTAAATCGATTTAGAAAACAATTTATTATTTCATAACCTTATAAATAAAAAAAAAGCTTACAAGGTCTCCTGTTACAATACACGAAGCATTTTGTAAAGTTTTATATATATACATATATATATAGTTCTATGTAGTTACACAGCTGGACCAATAAAATATATAT